TCTCCCTCTGACCTCATCTGGTGGGCAGATTGATGGATGAGTTGTACAGTTCTGTCCAGTCTGGCTTTTTTTTTTCCCCAGCTGCAGGTGTAACATTTTCAGCTTATGTCTGTACCCTGCATAATCTTAGTCATCTAATTATAACTCACCATTGACACCTCAACAAGCTAGATTCACTCAATTAAAACTGCACAGAGCATCTGTTGTTCAGCTGGTATGAAAAATATCAGCTTTGCCCAGTATCAGCTGGGAAGCACTCACTGTGCTCCTGTGAGTAATGACCTTATGGCAGGATCTACTTTTGCCTTTCTCAGATAAACTGCCATTCCCCAAGCATGATACAGATACAGCTTTTGCCATTTGCTTTGTCCAGTTTAAAGCAATACATTACACAAACAAATTAGTCTTTGGTGACTGCTCTGATCTGCCATTCTCAAGGTGTGGGAGAAACCACCTCTATCTGACCCTAACTAAGGTTTAACTGTTGTTTTACTTTGGCTGCCTGATTTCAGCTTTAGTGACCTTTCTTCAGTATCTGATCTGTTTTAATTCCTGATGAAATACTGATCCACTTTGTGTTTCTTAAGCACATTGCCTTTTAATACCAATCCCACAGCTGACCACAGGGAGTAGCTGATGTTTGATCAAGCATTTTTACATCTATAAATGTTGGAAATGCAGTGTATTTGCTGCAGTTCTGCTCCAAGTCCCTTCAATAGCTGTGCAGAAAAGCTTCAAACTGGGAAGTCACAGTTCTGGCCATCTAAATCTGTGCTCCTCACTTAAAGTGAAGACATCTCACCCTTCCCTGCCTCTCCCCATCATGTGCTTCTGTATCTCTGTTAATCCCCATGTTTAAGATGTGTAGAGCCTTCTGAGCTGTAGAGGCTGGGCCCTGGTGAAATCTCTGTGGTGATTTTTACAATGAGTAAGGGTGATCATAGAACCATAGAATGGTTTGGATTGGAAGTGGTCTTAAAGATCATCTAGTTTCAACCTCCCTGTCACGGGCAGGGTCACGTCCCAGTAGACCAGATTGCTCCAAGCCCCATCCAACCTGGCCTAGAACACTTCCAAGGAGGGAGAATCCACAGCCTCCCTGGGCAATCTGTTCCAGTGTCTCACCACCCTCACACTAAAGAATTTCCTCCTAATGTCTAAACTAAATCTACCCTCTTCCAGTTTAAAGCCATTACCCCTATCTTATCATTCCATGCCCTTGTAAAAAAACCCTCCCCAGCTTTCATGTAGCCCCTTCAGGTACTGGAAGGTGCTCTAAGGTCTCCCCATGGCCTTCTCTTCTCCAGGTTGAACAACCCAAACTCTCTCAGCCTGTCCTCATAGGAGAGCTGATCCTAAGTGGGTTTGCCATTTCCAATGGATGAGCATCCCCGTGCTCAGATCACCCACTTGCTGGTTCATGTATTTGCTATCTACCAGAAACACCAGCACCAACTCCATAGCACTTCTAGTAACGTTTACCAGAGACTGACACTTAGGAACAGTCTAAGGAGCCGTCATAAAGAGCATGGATTTGCTGCTGTAAAATGCAGAATATCTGGATCTCTACCTGCTAAAAGTCTATCAGTACATGTAAACAACTGGAATGAAATCACAGCAGGTGAGGAGCACAGAGCATTCTCAGAGAATCACAGTGGTTCCCCAGAGAGGGGTGGAGATTAGCAACTGCATTTCACATGGCAGCTTTAATGTGATGATTTGAATAAGTGGATTAAAGAAGCACACCAACATGTCTCTAAATCTTATTAGTGTTTATTACTCTGGATATCAGAGAAAACAGTAATTACATTGAACAGAGATTCTTAGAGCTGGATTCAGAGGTGGGGCTGAGCAGATGTGGCTGTGCCTCTGTCCCCATCGGCCTGTGGGACCCCCTGCCCTCTTGCACTGTGCAGGAAGAGGCTTTTGCAGGACCACTGAGCTGAGCCAAGGGGGCTGCTGAGGGAAGAGGAGAGAAAAGAGCTTCAGGAACACACTGGGGAATGCAAATAATTTCAGGGTGCAAAACTTAGTCCTGAGAGAAGGGCCTGGAGCAAGGGGCAGGCTCAGAGCTTTCTGGTATGAATGCAAGTCCTAACAGATTCAAGGCACATACGGGTTAAATCAGCACTTGAAGGAGGGTGCCCACTGTGCTGGGCACTCCTGAGCACCTCCTTGAGGTGACAGCCCTTAGCACTGCTGTAACAGCAGCTCCAGAGGCTGCTGGTGATGAGATGTTCCCAGTGCGTCTGTCACTGTGGGAACAATACACAAACTGAACAGTCCTTCATTTCTGTCTTGGGGGAAAGAGAGAAGACCACAGAGAGTGAAATCCCACTTGCTTCTTGCAGCTCTCTGCAGCAGCCACCTGCAGTCACTAACAGTGAAGAGAATGCTAATAAGCCAAACTGCAGTGCTGGTGAATGAGGGTACAAACTTAATGTGTAAGAAGGAAATGATCCCAGGTCTGCTGAGGTGTAGCAGGAGCCTTCCCAGTCCCTCTGCCAGGCGTTGGATTGCTCTAGATTACAGCTCTGTGTGAGGTTGTAAACATTATGGGCCATCTCCATGCTAGTTAGCCATTACAAACTGACAAATTCACAGCTTGAAGTAACATCATTCCAAGGAAAAAAACTTTCCAAGAAACAGGATTTTATTGTTATTTAGTGCTGCCTTTTGCTATATTGTTTCAGTGCTCTCTTGCTGCCCTACTTTCTGTTCTCTTCAAATGACCCCTGAAACAAATGCTGAAAAGCTTAAAAAATTTGATTGGTTTGTTTGGAAGGGTTTGGGGGTTTTTGCCTTTTCAAAATTACCAGTTATTCCAGTAACTTTCTATATTGAGCTTGAAGGAAAAACAATTTCCTAAAATTCAGCAAATGCAAAACATGCTTTAATAGGTCATTCAAATCTTTAAGCCAAGGTAATCACAGCAGATACACTTAATCACAGAGTGAGTGCAAGTAATGCCCACTTTAAAAGGACCTCCTGGATTCAGTGTCTCTGTAATGAGCTTTTAATACCCAGTTCCTCATTACTAACAGTAGCACAGCTTGAAATTCTGACAAAATTTGTGAAAAGGGATTTCAAATGCTTTCCCAACACTTCTCCCAGTGTGTGCATACACATCTGTGTATTTTTTTAACCAGATTAAGCTTGCTGAATGCTGATGAGCAGAATTGTATTCACAGTTTCACAGTAGGAGTACATTTCCAAACAGACAAACCATCCCCTCCTTCCCTTCCCCTCTTGCCTATTTGCATTGTCTCCCAGCCAACCCATTTGTGGCCAGTTGCAGAGAGATGCCCTTGCTGACCACAGTCAAAGAACTGTGTTGCTTCTCCAGCTGATCTCAGCTCAGTATCAGGCAGTTCCTGGTGCCATTCCAGATTCTGGCTGAGTAGGTGGGAAGAACCCTCTTCAGAAACATCTGGTTTCAGAACTTTCTGCTCTATGCTTGTCCATTATCTCAGATCTTTTCAGTTCAGGCAGAGAAGGGAAGAAACTATAAGCCATTAGTTGATTATATCTTCTCACTTTCTTGTCTGATTGAATAGTGAATGTCAAAGGAAATCGTTTCTTCCCAAAAGACCCATTCAAAAGAGAGCACTTGCCTCTCTGCTCCATATGATGGGTCTTTGTCTGGTCATGAAATGCTCATACCCAACTCAATGTCAATGGCCCCTTTCACCCACTGTTTCTTAACAGCCACCTCCAAAAGCACTTTTAAGGACAGTGTCAGTCTCTGGTGTTCGAAGTAGATGGCAGGTCGAAATCAGTTCTTTAAGAAATGAGTAGAAAGCATCTCAGCTCAGCTGTTCAAGCACCTCAGAATTGATATCCACTCCTCTGACTGGAGATGAAGCCACCTTGCAGTATGGCCAGCAGATCTGGGTTACGAGAGATGATGGCAGGAACACAATCCAGTGTCAGTAAAGCTGTGGTAGGTCTTAATGTCCCCCTGTATGGATGTGTTTCCACCACACATGATGTTTCCACCCTGGATGGCAGCATCAGGAAATCTTCTAGATGACTTTGTAAATAGGTTGTCCCTCACCCTGCATGGCAGCTGCACCTCTCAGAACCGTCATCACTCCCATGTTGTTTCTCATCTTGTAATACTGCTCCTCACCTTCCTACACATTGTGCTGCAGGTTCACAAGATGATGGGCTCCAAAAGCACAAAGCCCAGATTCCAGCCCAGTGGGGCTGGCCATAGCAGGCAGGTGGGCAGCCCTGCTCCAAAGGCTGCTATTCCAGCTGCTCAGCCAGCTGCAAGGAGAACATGGCAGGGAGGGAGAAAACCACACAGGGAGGACACAACACACCTGGCCAAGGGTGCAAGCCAGTTGTTTTGTAGAGAGGAGCTTGGAGGAAGCACAGGTGAGCTGGTGCCACTATGACACATGCCATGGGCAGCCTGGGGAGGGGGTGGCCCTGGCACCAGGAAGCCCCTGAGCAGGCTCTGCCCACCTGATTTCCTGACCCAGCTGAGACAGCTGCTCAGAAAGGGTGTTTAGGAGAGACTGAGACTATTCTTCAATATGGCACTAACCCAAGAGAATGACAGGAGTATTGTTAGTCCTCCACCCTGGATCCTGTGCTACAGACTGGATTCCAGGTAGATCTGCAGACTTAATTTTTACCCAATCCAAATGACCTGCACACTAAGATGCTCAGAACTTATATTCATCCTTTCTTGTCCCTCTTCTCAAATCCCATGTCTGTACTGCCAGCAATATCCAAAACAGATAGGAGGGCTCTTTGTTATTAATATAAGGCTATCTTACTGTGCTAACATCTCCTTGGCCTCTAACTCCTGTCAAAGAGGTACCAACATTTATGGGATGTGATGTCTGCTCAATCTTCTCCAGTAGGAGCGGAGGTGCTGGGGAAGACAGGCATGGGACTTGTGTTGCTATAATTGAGCCCTGAGGGCAAATGTCAGGAGCCAGGACTGATTAAAAATGGAAATTACTTACAGTGTTACTGTATGAAGGAAGTGCACTCCCACCAGCTCTTGTTCACAGCACCACACTGGCCATAATGCAGTTTGTAGTGGGTCCAATTTTCTTCTTTCTCCAGGCAAACATTTTCTTTAGCTCCCTCCTGAAGCTGTCATGGAGCCAGGCATAGAGGAAGGCATTGGTACAAGCAGACATCATTGCAAACCAGTGGCACAGCAGCTGGATGAAGTTGAAATACTGCTTGTCAATCAAGCTGATGTCTATGTCCTTTATCATGTTAAAGATGTGCAGAGGCAGCCAGCAGACTCCAAAGGCTGCCACCACTAAGACCAGCAAGCGAAAGGTCTTTCTCCTCCTTGCTCGGTCCCACTCAGCTTGGCCCTGGGTGACGTTGCCTGGGACCACACGGTTTTTCAGCTTGACTGAGATCCTCAGGTAGGACAGGGAAATGACAGCCAGTGGCAGTACATAGGTGATGATAAGGGTGCTGTAGGCATAAGCCAAACGATCTCTTTTCATGTGGAACCAAAACTCCTCGCAGATCGAGAAGTCCAGCTCTGGGAACTCAGCATGGTAGGTGTGCACCAGGGCAGGGGCAGCCAAGGTACAGCTCAGCAGCCAAATGGCAGCCAGGATATAAGCACAGAGGGGGATTGTGAGCCTCCTGCGGAAGGGGTACACCATGGCATAGTACCTGTCCACAGCTATGACAGTCAAGGTGAAGACAGACACAAACACAGTGACAGGTTGCATCAGGAAAACAAAGTAGCACATGAAGCGCCCGTACACCCACCCTCTGGGCTCAAAGGCATAGGCGAGGGTCAGGGGCACGCAGGTTGCACACATGAGCATGTCTGAGAAAGCCAGGTTGCCTACCAGGAAGTTGGTGACGTTGTGCATTTTTTTAGTCTTGCAGATAACATAAATGAGCAGGTAGTTCCCAATGACACCAATAAAAACCACTAGTGAGTAGCAGGGGATGATGAGCGGCTTGAAGGACTGAACAAACTGGAGCCCTGAGAATAAATTGCTGGCGTTGCTGTGGATGGCAGAGAGGAAGCTTTGGGAAGTTAAATTGTCTGAATTCATCATTTCCCCCCTTTTGTTGTCTGCCGGCAGCTGAGGGAAATAGTTACCACTGTGCTGCTCCAGCACTCAATCCGTGGGGATAATGAATGGATTACTGCCTGTCCAGAGGTTACCACATGGATAGTAAACAAGCATCCATAAAAGCAAAAGGTGAAGTTGTAATCCTCGTGAGGCAGCTTTCAGCAATTCCTAAGAAAAATCAAATACAACCAATTTCCATTAAAGTCCTCCTGTATTTACTATTAAACCTAGGTTTTGACAGCATGCCACTTAATAAACGTTTAATGCAGTGAGTACTTACTGCTGTGGAGTTTTAATCCCATATGATTTTCCTCTGGATGCCAAGAAGTGCCCTAGATGTCTGTCTTCTGTAAATCCAGGAGCCTGTGTGTGTGTCAGAGAGAGAGAGAGAGAGAATATATGAGTGAGAAGGAGGGTGATGCGTATTTACAAGCTAAGTGTTTTTAAACAGTCTTCACTACTAGGTCATGACAGGTTTGTGTTTAAGCTTTTACCCCTATTGGCTCTCCTGGGTATTACGTTGCTCTTTGCGTGTTTCTTACTGATAGTAATTAGTTCTTGAATATCCTCTAAAAAATTCTCTTCTCCTTACAGTGCATCTATAATTGCCCCTCACAGCTAAAAATCAATTTGCATTCATTAACACTAGTCTTCACGGCATCTAATCCAATACTCACTTTGCCAGAGTCCTCAGAGTGTCCAAAAAAGCTAGCTCTGAATTTGCTGCTATCATCTGGCTGTAAAATAGAAATTTAATAACATGCTGAAGTCAAATAAATGTCTATGCCACTAGAGGGACTCAGCTCCGTACCTGGTGAGTGAAGTTAGGGTTAGAAATGTGCATTTAGCTTGTAGCACGAAGGATCTTGATTTGTTTAGATTTATTTTCTAATGGTGGTTTAATGTTTGCTCTCCCTCTCTGAGTATTTTCAGTGGGGTTTGCACATCTTTAAAAGTAAATGCATGCAAGCATCTCAAAGGAAATATTAGCATCCAAATAGCTTAACTGTAAGGCTTTACCTGCAGTGAAGTACAGTAAAATGTTTCTAACATTGCAGCTGACCAAAAAATATTTGTGGTATTTCTTCATTCCTGCAGCAGGTTTGTTAACCTTTTCTGTACCAGACAACAAGTCCCAACCAGCCTGTAAAAAAGTCTATACTTGTTTTGTCAGGTTCAGACATTAGAAAACAAGAAAAAGCATAGGATGGGTGCTTAGAGAACACCCATTTAAGCAGACATCCCCATCCAGCTCTTAACCTAATGCTCTCATCCTCCCTTAATCCTCCTCCCTTTTAACTGCTTCTGGGACCAGGACCTCACTTGGTGAAAAACAGTGAAACTCCACTTATACCAGCAAGGGAAACTAAAAACCAGCCATTTCTGAATACTTCAGAGCAGAGAACTTTGCCAGGTTTTGCAAGGCACTTGGGGGATTTAGACACAACTTCAATGGACAGTTTATTTCCTAACCCCTTAGACTACTCTAAGGAAATATTAACCCATCATTTTCAGACCCACATTCTTCTTTTGATTTGATGTCATTTGACATAAACCAAAAGTGTAAATCAATTTAATTTGTGTTATGATCCTTCCCCTCATCTAAACTAATCTGGTGTAGCCCTTCTTCAGACCAGAGTCATTCTCCCATGACTCCTTATGATGGATGGGCATTTCAGACACAGTAAGTGCTGCCTCTCTGCTGCTACATTTATGGTTAGATTATGGTCTGGACTGGAATATGGCTGTAATTCCAGCCCAAGAGAAGAACTAACTGAGTGGCTCAGTAGTGCTATTCTTCACATCATGGATGTAGCCACCTTCCTATGACCCACATAAAAAATAGGATGTTATGTGCCACTTGGGAGCCTTCACCTCTGTGAACTAGGTGGGACCCAGAGGAATATAGCACCTTTTTATCCCTACATACCTAAATCCAGAATAGGAGAGGGACATGTACCACTTGGTGTTAAGCAGCTTGCTGCACAAGTAATTCCTAAATCCCATAAAAGCAATTGTTTCACTTCATGTGGAATAACAGTATGGTCTGATTTAAATCCTGCCTCAGTGAATCTATGATGATTCTGTGATTCAGTAGGATTCCAGCAAACTTAGGAAGCTGTCTGTAGTATAAGACAAAGGATACAGAAAAATGAAAAGAAAACATGTAAATGGCCTTTGTACTGTCCACATCCTACTGGAATTGCAAGGCTTGTGCTAGGAGAGAAGCCTCACAATAATATCAGTGCACATGTAATAATAGAAAATTTCTATTTCTTCCTCAAGAGCTGTACAGTAGATCCAATAAGTATTCTCATTGTATTGCTATGAGAAAAAGGTCTGTACTTCACTGTGTGAGAAGAGAACATCTAAAGTAGCCTTCAAGGTCACCTAAATGCTCAGGTCACAAAATCCTGTGTGTAACCTTAGAGGTTCTTTCATTTCAAGCTGTACCAAGCAATTTTCCTGCATTTCCTCTTACCTTTAAATGTGTTTTCTTACCTTTGAAACCAGTAACCAGTGCACCCTCTATTTGAAGGTTCCCACCCTACTTCTGTTAGTGATTTTGTTTGTTTTGAGGCAGAAAATCTCTTCAGTTCAACTGTACTCTACAGCCAATACCTGGAAAGATAACATGTAACAGGGGCTTGAGTAAAAAAAGTCGTTCAGCCTTGTACCCCAAAGAAATCCTCTTTCCTCCTTTCAAAATGGCAAATATTAATCTTGTTTAGAATTTCCTAGGCTAGATGACAGTCTGTGCTGAACTGAGTGGAAGCCTATTTTGTACACAGAATTTTCTCATTAAAAGAGAAAAGGTCACAGAAACTGCATTACTGTCATTCTAGAACTGTTTTGACATTCCAAGTGTATAAGGGTGTCACACATAGCAATGCTGATTAGTGTCTAATTGAAACCTTGAGTCAATGGAACATGTTTTACCTAGAGCCAAACCCAGACTTCTCAGAAACATTTTGTGAGCGTTCCTGATCTCTTATGCTAACCTGTCCAACCCTGTGCAGACACTGTGAGTACAAACATTGTAAGCTGCTATGTGACTTTTAGAAAGTAGTAAACCTCTTAAAACACTAAGGCTGCTCCTTATGTGGATGTCTTATCATCCCTATATTTCCTAACTAAAACAGCATGATCCAGGAATGAGATCTGAGCCTAGCAGCTGTCCTTGCCAAGTCCAACACCTCTTCTTAAGCTAGTAGACCCTCTCTTCTACTATTTAGACTCTACAGATTAAACAAATAATAATCCTTCTGTCATTGAAGTCTCACAGTTTCATAGGTTTCTACATTCTTATTTACTTGACGTGTGTCTTTTCTGTAAAACACAACTTTTTGCATCACAGAACTCTTTTAAATTAAAAAGTCTTTCACTTTCTTCCAGGAATGCTCCGTGCAGAGCAGATCAGTAGTTCTTGCAGAACCTACAATAAAAGTAGATGCTTTGCCTATTTTGAATGAAGTAGTCCTAGGGGTTCCTTTAGCAAATTCTTCTTTTGACCATCCAGGGAACAAGGTTGTGTATCACACAACAATTTCAAGACAGGGCAGCCTGTCCTTTCTTCTCTCATTTAGTCATATAAATGCATCCTGCCTGCCTGCTGTGGACTGAGACACCACAGCTTCTAAGCTCAAAAAGCATGTTTACAACTAAGTGTTTTGTTTGGTTGGCTTGGAGTTTTTTGGTTATCATTACTGCTTTTCTCAAATCCAAGGTACCAAACTTTGATAAACTCAGAATTTAGCTTAAAATAATTTATTTAAGCTGAAGAGGAGCTGAACAATTTGAAAGAAGAGAAGGCTTGAATATAAGTCAAAATATGCTCAAGGTTGCACGCTAAATATAGAATAGGGGCTCTACTCTTCTGTGTATTCTTTGTCTGCTGAGCAAAGTGAGATGAGAAAAGTTGGTTCCTTAGATAACAAACATCTTGTGCTAAAATAGATAACAGTGTAAAAACTGATTAAACATACAAGTGAAAGTGCTGGGACAATGTACTGTGTTCAGTTCTGAGCACCTCACTACAAGAAGGATGTCAATTTGCTGGAGTGTGTCCTGAGAAGAGCTCCCAAGCTGGTGAAAGGTCTGGAGAATAAGTCCTATGAGGAGAGGCTGAGGGAATTGGGAATGTTTAGTTTGAAGAATAGGAGGCTGAAGGGAGACCTCATTGCTCTCTACAACTACCCGAAAGGAGGTTGTAGGGAGGTGGGAGTTGACCTCTTCTCTCAAGTGAATAATGACAGGATGAGAGAAAATGGCCTGAAACTGAACCAAGGGAGGTTTAGACTGGATATTAGAAATAATTTCTTTACCGTAGGAGTGGCTGGACAGTGGAATAGGCTGCCCAGGGAGGTGATGGAATCACCATCCCTGGAAGTGTTGAAAAAAATATAAATGTGGTGCTTAGGGACATGATTTAAGCACTGAACAGGTAGATTAGGTTATGGTTGGTGGATTTAGGTTATTGTTGGGCTTGATGACCTTTAAGGTCTTTTCCAACCAGGATGATTCTGTGAATTACTGCAACAAGGTAAAAGCCAAATGTAGCAGTGAATACACTCCTAGTGTCAGGAGGCAGCTAATCCCCAGTGCCCAGTCCTGCAAAAGGTGGCACATGGAATTCCTGGGTGAAAAGAAAGGGCTTTTTCCTGTCCTTGTGGCATGAGGACACAACTCTGTGACTGAAGAAAAGTAAATGGTCACCTGTCCTTAAGAACAGGAAGGGAGAGGATATAAGGAGTAAGTGCAGGCCCTTTAGTCCAACAGCAGCTTTATAGTAGGTTTTAGATCAGATATAAGGCCAGAGGAAGAAGAGAGAGCAGAAACAGAATAGGGTGCCAAAGGAAGATTTTTGTCAAATTAACCTTCCATTTGTATGTTTTTAAACTGATTTTTGTCCCCACAGGGCATATAGTAGTTCTCAGTCTGGGTTTTTTTAGCACATGTGATGTGGTAGCATATAAGAAACCATCTATACCAGAGGAAGTATCTTAAG